CCAGCTGTAAAGACGACCCAGACTTCCTCTCCCCCAACACTCAGACCAACACTCGTTTTGTTTGCGGTTATATCCCAACCACCTAACACAGTGCCTGATACATAATAGACACTCGATAAATACTTTTGGAATAAATGGAAAAAATGATTCCTTAAAGACATACCCAGTACATCTGCACAGCCCTCTCTACCCTCTCTGTCACATATACTTTCACACCTGCTGTCCCCTCGCTGGTGCAGAGTCCCACAAACACAAAGTAATTAAGTTACCACACACACCCCTAAGCAAAAGGACAACCCCTGGCCCGGGCATCTCTCCCAGAGGGGCAAGGGGGCCATGTGGGATCCAAAGGGGACTCCCCGCTGTGGCCAAGCCCTCCCTTTTCTCCTCCTCTACCCCCAGCCTCAGCCCCAGCTGCTCGGCTTTTAATTGGAGGCACTTCTTTACTCAGCAGGCAAGGGAGGGGCTGGCTCTTGGAGCAGGAGTCACTAGGTGGCCTCAGGGCTAGAGAGAAGGGTCTGCAGCTCACCTAGGTGTGTGCAGGCAAGACAAGGACCACATCTGCCAAGTTTGGGCTTGAGGAAGCCGCTTGTGATGAATGAGTGGAGTCAGAAAACCAGCATTTGAGTCCAGTCTTTGCCCCCTTTCCAGCTCTCAGTGCCTTGATTTCCTCATCTGTAAAATGGAGATAACAAAAACTACATCGCAGCATTATTGGAGGATGAGACAAGATAAGTACTACAAACGAAGGCGCCTAGGACAGCTGGGGCGCTTTGTGAGTCCCGCTGTGTTTTCCTCCTTCCTTTTTCCTAACAGTGTTGCTCTGCGGGTGGGATGGCCTGGGCAGGCATGCAAAACCACTGTGGAAACCCAGAAGCTGCACCAAAGGTAAGCTCTGTGTGAATCTTCTCCTCCATTTTAGAAAACTTCCAGCCTTCAGCACTGTGCTCAGGTAACTCTGCTTGCTGGAGAAGGGGTAGGGGCCAGAGCCCAATGAGTCCTGATAATTGTGTCTCATCTTTCTAGGCAGGGAAGGAGCTGAGAGGGAAATCCTGAATCTTGGCAGCTACCCTATTGGAAGATGAAAGCTAAGGTGAAGGGGACTAATGGAAGCCCAGCTTGGGGGGTGGGGGTGGGGGTGCAGGGGAGGGCAGCACCAGGAAGAATTGGATTGGGATAAAAGTTGACTCTGATAAGCAAGAGAGATGGATGGAAAGTAACAAGAAGAGATTGGTCAGGCAGCAGCTGTGAGGGCAGGGGGAAGTCAGGGTGTCCCTGGGTTGGTGGATTATGATTAAAGTAACCTTATGGTCTTAGTGGCCCACTAGGCAGCTGTGACCCCTGCCAACCAAGGCTGGGCCAGCAAGGTCTCCTCCCAGGTACCCTGAAGAACTAGTGCCAGATCTAAGGTGTTCAAGAGGTGGGTCAGATGCCAAAAAGATTGGAACAGACCAGGTTGGAAGGCCAGAGCAACTAGAAAGGTACACCTGAAAAGAGGCTGGAAGGGGGAGAGTGTTACAAACACTCAAGAGGTTTCCTACATGGACCAGAGAGTGGCAAAGAGAAGTTTTCCTGAGGATAACTTAGAAACATAGGGTTTTTAACTGCAGCAAGCAGGACTATGGTTAGACATGAATGTGACTTCTTGACTAAAAGGAGCAGGGCCACCAGGACCCGGCCTCAAAGGAATCTGTAGCATCCCTCCTCATAGTTTTCAGACTCATACAGGGAAAACGGTTCCAGTTTTGGTATCCCAGATCAACCCTCTTCTGGCTATGGGACTTTGGGCAGTTTGTTCACCTCACCAAGCCTCAATTTCCTTTTCTCTTATTTAAATGAAATATAATTCACATACCATAATATTTAGCCTTTAAAAGTGTACAATTCAGTGATTTTTTAGTATATTCACAAAGTTGTACAACCATCACCACTATCTAGTTTTGGGATATTTTCATCACGCCCGAAAGAAATTCCTGTACGCATTAGCAGTCACTCCCCATTCCTCCCCTCCTGCCAGCCCCTGGCAACGACTGGCTGACCTTCTGACTCTGTGGATTTGCCCACTCTGGACATCTTGTGTAAATGGAATCCTACCACGTGTGACTTTATGTGTCTGACTTCTTTCACTTAACATATGTTTTGAGATTCATCCATGTTGTAGCATGAAACAGCACCTTATTCCTTTTTATGGCTGAATCATATTCCATTGTATTGGTACACCACATTTTGTTTATCCACTCATCAGTTGATGGACATTTTGGTTGTTTCAACTTTTTGGCTATTATGAATAATACTGCTGTGAACGTCCATACGCTTTTCTTGATTATAAACAGTAGGGACACTTATATTAACCTCACAGAGTTGTTGTGAGTCTTAACTAGGTGTCATGAGGTGCCTGGCACAAAGAAGTTACTCAGTAAACATTTATGTTTAGCTCTGTTTTAGTTCTCTCAAGATAAGAGTCAGAAATGAGACTCATTCAGCTCAAAACAACTTCCTAAATAAGTCACGGAGCCACCGGGGTATGGGTACAGTACATGGACTGGGTGGGTGGGGAGGAGAGAAGTGGAAAGGGAGTGAAGCTCTCCTTTTAGGTCTCTGCTTAGTGTTTGCAAACAATCATCAACTTCACATCTGGCTTTGTCTTTAGTGGGCCTTTGTCCATCTCTCTGGAGCCTGAACAAGGTTTCCCATAGAGACAAGCTTCCAACCAGCAGCCAGGCTTCCAAGCTAACCCACAAAAAAGCAGGTCGAATTCAGCTCCTCCATTTTGATCAGGTCAGTCAGTCTCTCTGAAATGTGGTTTCCCCACAACTGTAAAGTAAAGATAATACTAGTCTCAAAGGGTTGGCATAGAGTTAAGTCTATATTGTTCTCCATAGCACTTATTACCATCCGGCTTATTACATATTTACTTGCCTATATTTATATATTAAATATATAATTTATATTGTATAATATGCGACCTTTTGTGTCTGGCTTCTTTCACTTAGCATAATGTTTGCAGTGTCTGCACATGTTGTAGCTTGAATCAGCATTTTATTTCTTTTTATGGCTGAATCATATTCCATAGTATGTATATACCACATTTTGTGTATCCATTCATCAGTTGATGGACATTTGTATTATATTAATATTCTATATTATTCTATGTATAATTTATATATTTATATTTATTTATTATATATAATTTATACATTTATATATCATTTATATATAAATATATTAAATATGTAAATATTTATATATTTACTTGCTTATTTGTTTATTTCTTACCCCCTCTACTAGAATATAAGCTCCATGAAGCCAGAGACTTTGCTTTGTTCACTGCTGTGTCCCCAGTGCCTAGAAGAGTGCCTGGCACGTAGTAAGTGCTCAATAAATACTGTTGAGTAAAGGGATTCACTCATTCATTTTTCACCCAAGATGAGCATATGTTGTGGGTTGGGGTCATGTTGAGGGGGGGGAAGAGATGAGTGGTCCTCTCCCTGCCCTCAGAGAGCTCCTTAAGGGGAGGTGACAGACATTGCAAAAACAAATAGATTGCAAGGAGACTTGATAAGTAGAATGTGAATGCACCTAGCATCTCGCCTGATAGAGACAGGTCCTCCTGAAGGTGAGTTGAATCGGAAACTGACCTGAAGTAGACTAGAAATAGATTCCAAATGATCTAACCTGTGCCTTCCCCAAAGCTTGGCTCCTGGGAGGGAGCAGACCTTTCCCTACCAGAGAAGGGAAAGAGAGGAAGCAGAAAAAGGGAGTTTCCTCCTCTCCTGGGCTCTAGGCCAGGCAGCCACAAGTGAAACTTTGAAAAGACCTAAATTTGTCCTGGATGCATTTCCCTGATCCACCATTCCCAGTCCCCACAGCCTTAAGCCCCTAGATTTTAAAAGTAATGAAATAACTCCTTTCCCTTCACAGTCAAAGGCTTCTGTGGGAAGCAATCAGGTTGAATTCATTCACCTGCTGTATGAATTCCTTCTTAAGGCATTTGTTTATCTAAAAGAAAACGGGTATCTTGAGGCCATGGGCACCCGAGCAGCAGGCCCCAAAGCAACTCCCTTGAGTTGTGCCTGCCTTTCAGAAAGTCTTCCTTCCCTCAGTTTCTCTAAAAGGGCTGAGTTGGAGTGGTTGTTGGTTTTTCTTTTTTTTTCCCCAACAACACAGAGCCAGTTGTTCCTAGGCTTCTGTTTTAAAGCCGGACAAGCCTGAACTCACCGTCCTGCCTCAGGGGCTTGGGCTCCATACCTGGGGAATAGACAGTCTTCTACTTTCTAATCAGCCCGGCTGGAAGTTTGGAGTAAATCGCCTGCTTGAGTGACAGGTGTTTCCCAGCTGAGCCCTGGGGAGATTCTCGTTTGTGCAGGGACACTCCTTCCCCAGAGGCCTGATGGGCTGCACTCCTTCGGCCTTGTTCAAAGTGAGGGATGGCTCTTATCAGGCTGGGAACGGGCTCTGACCTCCCCCTCCTTGGGTCTATCTGTCTGTCCGTCTCTGAGAATAGCCGCCTCCTGTTCTTTTCTTCTTTTACGTCTCTCTCTGTCCCTCTCTTCTAGCTCTTCCTGAACTCCTTCTCCTAGCGTCGGTCTCCGTCCCTCTGTCTCGGACTCCTGCATCTGACTGGGCTCCGGGCCTCCCTTTCCCCCTCCCCGCCCCTCCCCCGCGCTGTCATTCACCCCGCTCCTCTCCGCGCGCAGCCAATGGAGAGACCCTGCCGAAACGGCGAGGCTCGCTAGCACCGGGCTTTTTCACCCGGTGATTGATGTCCCAGAGTCAACAGCGAGCGAGCAGCCAGGAGAGGGGAAGGAGCAGCCGGAGAAGGGAAGAATACGGCGCCCCCTCTTTCCCTCCCCTCCCCCTACTTTAGCCCTCCCTGCGCACTTCGCCTCCAGGTCTCCGCGCAGCTGGGAGCCGCCGCCGCCTCCGCGCCCCTGCGCGCTGCCCGGGAGCCCAGCGCCGCGAGTGCCGCCACCCGGCCCCCCCGCGGGGCCGGGGCCAGCATGGAGCACCTGGGCCCGCATCACCTCCACCCGGGCCACGCGGAACCCATTAGCTTCGGCATTGACCAGATCCTCAACAGCCCGGACCAGGGTGGCTGCATGGGGCCCGCCTCGCGACTCCAGGACGGAGAATACGGCCTTGGCTGTTTGGTCGGAGGCGCTTACGCTTACGGCGGCGGCGGGGGCCCAGCGGCCGGTGCAGGGGCCGGGGCCGTGGGGGCCTACGGCG